CAAAAAAATCAACAATTAACCTTGAAATAGAGATTGAACGTTGCACTGGATTGGTTTCGTTGATTTCTTGTGTTAATCATGGAAAATAAATCAGAAATAATAATCAATTAATCAACATGGAAATATTAATAATTTATATTTAATAAAATGTTACTCCTAAACTGTTTCGAAACCCCAAACCAAACAAATATTCTACATAATTTGGTGGAGGTGAAATTTCAGGAATTGCATCAAAATCAAATACCTCTGGATACCACAAGTCACAAAAGCCTTTAAAATTGAATGATCTATATAATTCCTGCATGATTCTTTTAATAATATCTTATTTTTATCCCAAAAATTAACAAGTGATTGTGTATTTGCTTTATATGCTGCATTTTATAAAGATTCACTTACACCATCTCTTTCTACAACAATATACAGTGAGACAAAAAAAAACCAGAATTAAAAATTGACCATTATACTACCATTGGAAGCTGAAAACCAGCTGATTTTATTAATATAATTTTAATAAGGTATTCTTTCACCGTTTTTTTCAATCACAAGCTCACAATGCCGTTTCATTGATCCTACTTAAGGTTTCTGGTCCAAACTGTTTTCTCAAAGCCCAAACTAGTTTGGGCAATTTGGGCTTCTCAACATTTTTTATAAGCATGAACATTAAAAAACTATATGAATCAATTTGTTTTAACTTAAACAACTTTAAAATAATTTCACCCAATTTCGGCTAATAACAAAAAGTAGTTTGGGCTTATAAAAAAATAAATTTTGCCCAAAGTATTTGGGCAATTTCAGCTACTAATAGAAGCAGTTTCGGCCAGAAACCTTAATCCTACTAAACTTATTATAGTGGATTCGAGGATATTTCTTCACCCCTCCATCATAAATCATTCCAATTCTTCCTGTTTTTTTGGCATGTCTCTTGACATTTTCCTTAACAATGCTTCAGAAATTTTCAATAGGATTCAAGTCAGGATTGTTGGATGGCCAATCCATATGTTCACCTGTAAAAAGGCTTTGGAAACGTGACTTGTATGCTTTGGGTTGTTATCCTGCTGAAATCACCATCTATTTTCCAACATCTGCTTGATCTCTGGGACATGTCTGTGGAGAATATCTACATAGAATTTGGCATCCATTATTCCTTTAAAGCAAAATAAACTTGTTTTTCCCTTTATGCAGAACCCACCCATGCAAAATTTTTTGTCTGATGTAATAATAACGACAATTTTTTTATTCCACATGACTTAATGTAGTACAATTTTCTGTCTATAATGGATCATTGGGGACCAGGGAAATTTTGTCCATTATAGAGAGAATCTGATGTAGTGTGGACTATACATTATAGATTGTGATGATATTTTAGGTGAAGAACCAAAATTTGGATTGCATTTCAATCCTGTATGTATTTTAATTAATTACTTAAAAGTGAAGAAATTTTATTAATAATTATTTTTTTTTAATATTAATATAGAAATTGAAAGATATTCATGATATTCATGAAGATTTAATAGAAATTTATAGAAACACAAATTATTGGTAATTTTTATAACCAGATGTGTATATAATTATTGGTGTTAAAATGCAAAAAATTACATTTTAATTTTATAATTTTTATACAGTGATGATGTTATAAAATGGGCGTGATAAACTTGGATGATGAATAGAAATTATATAAAGCAAAAACAGAAATCTTCATTATTTGGTTTTTTAATTTACTCTGCATATTTATCCCAGATCAGCTTTAATGGGAATGGGCTGAATTGAAAGAAGAAGTAACATTTGATAGAAAATTTTGAGCAAAGTTTTTAATTGTCATAGAATTGTGATTGTATTTTATTAACTTAATAGTAACTATCAATTGAAATTTTAATTGCTAATCTTCCTGATGTAGTTAAGATCATATCAAAGTTAATAAAATTAGATTCGTTAGTTAAAAATGATATTTTGTTGTCAGGAATCATTGACATTTCTTTACATCAAAATATTGTAATGGGAAAAGTGAATGAAAAACCAATCAGTGAAATATTACCTAATTGAATTTTAGCATTCATTTATGAATATGTACAATAGTGTTGGTTGCCAAAACTATTTTGAAGAGGTGAAAGTCAAAACTAAAATTAAAAGTTATATGTCAAAACTAAATCAAAAGTCAATA